TATGGCTGCAAGGGGGGGGGGGGGGGGGGGGGGGGGGGGGGGGGGGGGCTACAGGAAGCCCATGATGAGTCAGGTTCGCCAAACTCACAATGTCCGCCAGCGGTGTTTGAGGGGGGGGGGCGGCAGCGACGACGTGTGCGATGGCAGCCACCCCACGCACGCACATCAAGCCTCTCAGCAAAAACCCCGTTTCGGCGTCTGATTTGACACCCCCTCGTCAGGGAGGAGCCGCGGGCGCGGAGGGGCACGGCACGGGCGCTCACCTTTGGCGTCAGGTTCCAGGATGGGCGTCAGGCCGTCTCTCTGCTCCCCCGAGTCCATACACATGCTTCTGTCACGTTTAGCCTTGCCCTTTGCAGCCCCCCCTGCGCCGGCACTCTTCAGCCCAGAATTCCCCGGGGAGATCTGACTGGCCTTGGCTCCATGGCCCCCCGCCGCCACGCCCTTTGACCCCAGAGCCCCGGCAGGCTGCTGCTGCTGCTGATTTACATTGGGGATCAGGGGCTGGGCACTGCTGTTCACCTGCTTGCCATGATTGGTCAACTTATTGTCGGGGTGCATCTGATTGGCCGGGACCAAGAGTCAAGCCGGTGGCTGCAGGGGTTGTGGAGGGCTGAGCCCCGCTGTGTGGCTTTTTCTGCTTAGGGACGCAGCTGAGAAAGCAAACACAGGGCAGAGGGAGTTACGGGGGGGGGCTGCTACACTGCAGCATGTCCGTCCGCTATAGCATAGGCCTCATCTTTCTCTCCCTCCGGCGATGAGAAAATCTTCGGGGGGAAAAAACGCCACCCGACCAGTCGCCGTGAGACGCATATAAACACGGGCCGCAAGGAAAGCTCACTATGCTTCCTCTCTCGTGAGCAACCGCGCAGTGTGGCCTGTCCCCGCCCCCACCCCCCAGCCTCAGCGAAAGGTCAAAGGTCATGGCTATTAATACAATCCCCCAGACAGGGAGGCAGATGACAGTGGTGACATTTCCAGCAGAAAGTCCCACAGCAGACATCTTCCCCTTTCTGAGTCTCGTCAGAAGGCCTGGCAAGCTCTCCACGATTACAAATAAACTTCATTAGCTAATTATTGATTAAAGCTTCAGTTCTTCTTCTTTATTAAATGTGACTCAAAAAGAAAAAGTTAGGTTATCATATCAAAATATGGAGGCATAATGAAGTTTCTCCAAGACTCCTTTTTACCTGTAAATAAGTCAGCGCTGCTTCGGTCACAGCCTTAGTGAAGCAGTCTCACCTCAGTCAGACGCCTCGCTGAGACAGAGCCAGGGAGCCAGCAGACATGCTGTCCATGGAGTCTTCATGCAACATGGGCCTTTCCTGTGTGGCAGGAGGAGGAGCCGTCAGGGGGGAGACATGGTTGGGGAAAAAGGTGGTCAACAGAAGCACCATTAGGTTGAGAGACACACAGTTAGGAGAGAGGCACAGACGAGGGGGAGGCATAGTCTGAAGACAGGCACGGTCAGGGGGAGAGGCACGGTCAGGGGGAGAGGCACGGTCAGGGGGAGAGGCACGGTCAGGGGGAGAGGCACGGTCAGGGGGGAAACAGAGTCGGGGAGGGAGATAGCAACACAGAGTGAATGCAAAGTGTACTAAACATGATTAAAATTGCAAAATGAGAAGAGCTCTCTCTCTCCACATGTTAAAGCACTGAGGTTAAGGCTGCATGAAATCTATTACCGATACTAAAAACAAAAAAATCAAAACGTCATGGGATGGAGGCCCCATGATCGGTGGGACCCAAAAAGTACAGAAAGGCCCGTCTCATAGAAGCCTTCATCAGCGCACCGTTTTAACCACAGCAGGAGGCATTTCGGCTGCAGGGGTGGGGGTGCCATGGGGAGGGGGCGCACATCCGTCCAGGCATGCGAAGACAACAGTCAAACGTTTCATTCTAATGCTGAGACCATGAAGAATAAACTGCAAAAGTGCAAAGTGGCTTCGATAAAGGCGACACAGGCAAAACCAGGTAAGCCATAAACGCAGGGATCCCCTACCCAGCAGCACTGTGAAGGCGTCGGCGGACGCCTGCTTATGAGTTTCAACACGACGCAGAGACAAAGCATGACATGTGAAACTCCAGCAATGACACAATCAGCAAGCTGCCAGTTCAAACAGGCCCCCCTTCCAGCACAGGCTGGAAATTCCTCTGGTATTAAACGGCACCTCTTGCAAAATCGAGCAGGACCCCGAGGCGATTTTTATCTTGCATGGTGACGCACAGGCTGAGAAACGCCCCCGCTGCCCGTCTCATCTGCGACGACACCGACCGGGCCGCTCACCTCGTTGAGTGATAACGAGTGAACAGCTATCAGTCTCCATGATTGAACAGCTATCAGTCATTAACCTGGGCTGTACAGCTCTCTGCCCGCTTCCTGTATAATCACTCACTGAAAAAGGGAGAGAGAGAGAGAAAGACTGGAAGAAACAGAGAGGAAGAGTGCAAAAGCATCAAAGAGATGGTGCTCGTCCACCTCACAAAGCCAGCCGCCGGGTGAGTGGGCCGTGGCCTTCACCAATGAAACACATGAAACATGTGCTGCCAGGCCTTGTGCTTGCCAGAAAACAAAACGGTCCATTCCAGACCAAAACAAAAAGATAAAGAAATAGCAAAGTCACTGGAATAAACTCAACATGCAGTGACCAACGTCTGCCAAAACCCAGAAATAGGACTGCATTGTTACTATAAGGACAACGAAAAAATAATTCCAAAAGCAGGATCCTTCACAGAAAAGAAGAAAGAGGATCATATCATTGCCACATGGACCAACCAGAATCATTCGCACAAAAACCAGAAAGATGATCACATCATTATCACAGAGATCAAAACCAGAATCACTAACTAAAAAAAGAGAAAGAGGGTCACATTATTACTATGGTGACAAAAAGCAGAATCCTTCACAGGAAAAACGGGTAAAAGATTGCATCATTACCACAGAGACCAAAATCGGAATCATTCACACAAAAAACAGAAATACGATCACATCGTTACCATAGGGACCACAAGCAGAATCATTCACACAAAACCCATAAATAGGATCATAGCATCACAGGGACCAAAACTGGAATCCTTCACACAAAAAGCAAAAAGAGGATCACAATATTACCACGAGAAACAAAAGCAGGATCCTTCACAGAAAAAAGAGGATTATATCATTACCACAGGGACCAAAAGCAGAATCATTCACACAAAAACCAGAAAGAGGATCACATTGCTACCACAGGGACCAAAACCTCAATTTAAACGTGAATAAATAACACCGTGGACCACTGCGTTATAAGCATGTTGTTTATTTTATATAGATAATGCTAACTAGTCAAGTAGTTTATGTGGACCACATGTTTGCATGCACGTTTCAAAAGCAGCTTCCTCATATGACCTGGTCTTACAGCTGGGCATTTTGTTTAAGCCCCATAGATGGCCCACACCACATCCTTCACCACTATACCAGGTTAAACTGCTAGCTCAAGGGCAGCACAGTGGAGTTTCTCCTGGGATCTGAGCCAGCAACCTTGAGGTCCACGTCCTTCACACTACACACTACCAGCCTTCTACAGAAACTAAACGTTGACAAAGCAGGAGCCTTATAACAGGGCTCACTTTCCACCTCGCTTTCAGTCTGTAATCTGTTGCTTCTGCCCGCTTTCCTTTTCTGTCATGGATAAAGTGATCAAAAGGTCACTACGGGTGAGCCTGCCTCTCTCGGTTTGCCAGACCGTGAGCCAGCAGGAGGTGTCGATGTGCAAAATCTAAATGAAACTGCAAATGAAGGCATCTCAGGGTCACATGCTCCCCAGCTCAGGAACATGCACACCGGGATGCCCAGATGCACCTATCAGAGTCGTGCTCCCTGGAACAACAACCCTTTAAATGTTTTAATATGACGAGCATATGACACACACGCAGGTATTTCTCTGCTAACAGTAAAATCGTGAACAGTGTGCATTACAGCCATCTGTCCTCGCGGTGGTACCGTGCAGCATGAGGCTCGCAGCCT